AATAGTAGCTTTTAGCTGACTGAAGGGACTGGCTCTTTTGCTAAGATTAAAAGAATTCTAAGCCATGGCGAAACATTATATTTCTCTACAGCCACAGAAAGTCCTCAAAATCAATTAGAGAAGCTTTAATGGCACTATCCAAAAGGTGGTGATAAGCACCTGCCGGGATCTGAGGACTGTTACGCTGTGAGGACTGACACAACCAATGTGGTGTTCCCAAGAAGATTAGCCCTTGATGCTGAGCAACACCAGGCTGTGTGATCAGAAGGTGGACATCAGGGCTCAGCTCCAACTTGCTTGACATGCGTACTACATTTCTGGGTAACCAGAAGAGGAGAGTTCCTTGTGGATGATGGCAGTCCTTCGCCAACTTCCAGACCACTCTTCTGCAGCTGTGGTTCATCCATTCCCATGTTCTGTCCAATGAGGCATCCAGTGTACCAAATAATCTTCAAGCAGTACTCTCAGAGGTAATTAACTCTTTAGTCACCCTGTGAGGGAATTTGGGCAAATGGTGGGATAGGGCCCATCAGGAAAGTAGTGGGAGCCCTGTTTGTTGCTGAAGCCCAAGCAAAGCAGTGTTGTGGAGGATTATAATGAAGGCAGATCTAATATAAGGGGCAGCCTGCTTCAAAGAAATGGAGAGAAAATAAAGCTTTATGCTGGCTGAGGTGGTTGCCGAGCCGCTCTCCATCATATTTGAGAAGTCGTGGCTGTCAGGTGAGGTCCCGGATGACTGGAGGAAGGGTCACGTCACTCCCATATACAAGAAGGGGAGCAGGGAGGACCCGGGGAACTACAGGCCGGTGAGTCTCACCTCCGTGCCTGGGAAGATCATGGAACAGATCCTCCTGGACAACATGCTCGATCACATAAAGAATGAGCATGTGATCCGAGACAGCCAGCACGGCTTCACCAAGGGAAGGTCATGCCTGACTAATCTTGTGGCCTTCTATGATGGAGTGACGGCATTGGTGGACGAAGGGAAGGCGACTGATGTCATTTACCTGGACCTGAGCAAGGCCTTTGACATGGTCCCCCACCACATCCTCATCTCCAAATTGGAGGGAAGTGGATTTGATGGCTGGACGACCCGATGGATAAGCAATTGGTTGAAAGGCCGCAGACAGAGGGTGGTGGTCAATGGCTCTATGTCCAGGTGGAGGCCGGTAACAAGTGGTGTCCCCCAAGGGTCTGTCTTGGGACCGGTGCTCTTTAACATCTTTATTAATGACATCGATGAAGGAATTGAGTGCACCCTCAGCAAGTTTGCTGACGACACCAAGCTGAGTGGTGCGGTTGATACGGCGGAAGGAAGGGATGCCATTCAGAGGGACCTCGACAGGCTTGAGGGCTGGGCTCGGGTGAACCTAATGAGGTTCAACACGGCAAAGTGCAAGGTTTTGCATTTGGGCCGGAAGAACCCCAGGCACCCGTACAGGCTGGGAGAAGTGGTCCTTGAGAGCAGCTCGGCAGAGAAGGACCTCGGGGTCCTGATGGACGAGAGACTTAACATGAGCCAGCAGTGCGCTCTGGCAGCTCGAAAGGCAAATGGGATCCTGGGCTCCATCAGGAGAGGGGTGGTCAGCAGGGACAGGGAGGTGATTGTCCCTCTCTACTCGGCTCTTGTGAGGCCCCACCTGGAGTACTGTGTCCAGGTGTGGAGCCCTCAGTACAAGAAAGACATAGAGATCTTGGAAAGGGTCCAGAGGAGGGCAACTAAGATGATCAGGGGGCTGGAGCACCTCCCCTATGAGGACAGGCTGAGGGAGTTGGGCTTGTTCAGCCTGGAGAAGAGAAGGCTGCGGGGCGACCTCATTGCAGCCTATCAATACCTGAAGGGAACCTACACCCAGGAGGGGAGTAAACTCTTCAGAAGGGCTGACAACAGCAGGACTAGGGGAAATGGATCAAAGTTGAAGGAGAAAAGATTTAGGTTGGATGTTAGGGGGAAGTTCTTCGCAAGGAGAGTAGTTAGGCCCTGGAACGGGCTGCCCAGGGAGGTTGTGGATGCCCCGTCCTTGGACGTGTTCAAGGCCAGGTTGGACGGGGTCCTGGGCAACCTGATCTGAATGTGTATGTTTGGTGGCCCTGCTAGGCAGGGGGGTTGGAACTACATGATCCTTGAGGTCCCTTCCAACCCAGGTGATTCTGTGATTCTGTGATTCTGTGATTCTGTGATTCTCAGGGTTTATAGGTTGTTTCAGCACACCTGCAAGGAGTGCAGATGGAGGTATTACAGGCTGAACGCCTCTCAATCTGCACCTCTGCTGCAGAAAGATAGGCAGTATTTTGTATCAGGGAATGTCTGAGGGATGTTAGCTGAATTCTAAAAGATTCCCTTTGAACCACAATAATTCCAAAAATAGAGATTAGCAGTAACACAAGTGTTGTTTGGATGGCTATGAGCACTGCAAATCAAAGCTTGGGCTGGTAAAGGTAAAGAGTGATGACCAAGAGGAAACCCACCTACCAAATCCACCCTAAGATCTCTAGGAATATTTTCCTCATCTCAAGGTTTCCAGTCATGTTAAAACTCCTGCCTTCTTCCATACTGATTTCAAGGAATGATGCAGCCTTGTCCCACTAATAACTGTACACAAGAGGCAGAAGATTTGAAATAGCTCTCTTTTGGGACATTTTTTTGATGCTTTCTGCTCCAGCAAGTGAGGAAGCAGGAGGAACGTGCTCTGTGTGAGCATGTCCCCCAGTGACTCCATGCCTGTGCAATGAGCTGGCCCTGTTGTGTGGAGCTGCCTTCACTCTCCTGATCTTTCACAGGGGAATTTGCAGCAGGGAATGCAGCTGAAGAAAATTTCCTATCCTACAGAAGTAAGCAGAGCACACATCTAAAGGGACAGGCTTGGTCGCTACGATGCACATTAAAAAAAAACAACCAACAACAACAACAAAATAAAGGTTATGTATGCTGAGAAAAGAGATGTCTGGTCATTTGGGACCAAGTTCTGATTTTGTTCCTGAGCTGATGAATAATTCAGAGGGCCAAACTGATATGCAAGCAGCAGGACGTGGGTTGAGACCTCTTGCTTTGCGGAGCACCTACTGCAGATAAGTCATTGCACTGAATGACCAGTACAAGGACATGCAGTGCTGGAAAGAGACAGGAAATCTGCTTGAATACAAAAAAAAAAACCCAAAAAACGATGAGTTAGAGAAAGGTTATTTAAAGCTTAAAAGAATTTGGCAAATTGTCTGATGCTGTCATCCACTTCTCTTTCCTTCCCGTTCCCCGGTCACAGTTCTCTGCCATGTTAGTGTGTGCAGGAGAGGTGGCCCTGTCAAGCTTTCAAAAGGCAGCATACTGAAAAGGTCAGGGTAGTATAGTATGACAGAGCATGTAAGTCATTATCATTCTAATATTGCTTTTGTAATGAGAACAAGAGCGGAGCAAATTATTGTGAAATACCTCGTAAAACTTGGGGAAAAAAAATCATAGTTATATCAGTGCCAAAGTAAACGATGAGTGGATTCTATGTGTGTCTTTATAAACATGCTCCTCTGTTGGAGGAGTCTGAAATAAAAAGATTTGTGGCAATTTCCATGGTAACTATTCTTTTTTTCCCCCAACTGGATACGGAAAACTTGTATTACTGCAAGGTTGGGAGGAAGTGAAGCTAACTGAAGAGCTCAGGGATTTTGTTTGATTTTTTGTTTGTTTTGTTTATCTGTTTGTTTGTTTTAAATTAAGATCTGTCAAAACTTTGGCACTTATTCCTGTCATCTGAGTAACATGAAGCTGAAAGTAATGTATTAGTGTTATATCTAGATCCATTTACCTCACATAGGTCCTACACAGTATAACTGTATTGCTGACAACCCAAGGTTGTTTATTTGGACCATTTACTAGAAATTAACCTTTTGCAAAAACTTGGGGAACTGAAAAAAAAGGAATAACTCACATTTCCCTGTAGGTCTCTAAGTATAAAACCATCACAGATTTGTGACGTTCTTGGTTTTGGAGTGAAGTGGAGGAAGAGCATGTAGAAAATACCAACCAGATTGGAGAAACACCAGTTTATTGGATGTTTTGGGTACCTCGTTTGTGAGCAATTGCTGTGCTGACACAGAATCACAGAATGTCCTGGGTTGGAAGGGACCTCAAGGATGATGAATTGCCAACCATCCCACCCCACCACATACAGGGCCACTAGCCTCCACATTTAATACTAGACTAGGCTGCCCAGAGCACCACCCAACCTAGCCTTGAACACCTCCAGGAATGGGGCATCCACAGCCTCTCTGGGCAGCCTGTTACAGCACAAGTCCTTTAGACCAACCATCACCTCCCTGGTGGGTGGAACCCAGCCAGACCACAAGGATTCACTGCAACTCATAGTAACTAGGAGAGACTTGAGTCTGCTTATGTCCTACTGCTGTGTACTGTTTAATGTTTCTTCATGTTGCTCCCCTACATTCTCATTAATATATGCATTTTATCTTACTCTGACAAACTGCAGCCTTTTATACATTCGGAGATTTAAATAAAGTAGATTATGGGTTGATTTATGTAAACCATTGAAAACTCCACTTGAATAGGTTTACAAGCTGTCTTTTGTCAGTTTAGCTTTCTTTGATATCTGAGATTGCAAATTAAAATATGAAATGAAACGAAAGTTACACCAAATCTGCAACATGTCATTTATAACAAGGAAGCTGGCATTTCAGAGGAGTGAACTGTACACGCCGTAGGGCTTTGATCTTTAGGTCGAAGAAGCTGCAGGCAGAAAGCACATGGTTTTTCAAAAATAAGTTTTGCTCACAAGAAACCACCTGTTTTGTGTTCTGGCTTAGGTACCTCTGAGAGACGAAGGTCAAGAAATGGGCTCCTCGCCAGGCCACGGCCATGATCCAGGTCAGATAATAAGGTTATTCGGTAACATCATTATTTGTGAAGCATTACGTCAGTGGAATATGTTTTGGTCATTATTTGGTGTTTATGGTGTATCATGTAGGTCCTGCACATATTTATTTAAGGACAACGCAGACAGAAATGCTTGTGAATCCTCACCTCGTGAATGGTATGCTTTGCCCTTGGCATACCTACTCTTTACACAAAAAGTTTGGTGTGCTGTAGTGCATAAGAAACTCTTTGCTCTCAAGGTCTATTTGGTTTTAGCAGAGTTTGCAAAGGAACAGAGAGCATGCAAGTGTGAGCTCCTTGCATTTGGGAAAGGAGCTGGGGGTTTTGGGAATGCTATGCTCACTCTCCACCTCAAAGCATGGCCAGCTGAATCTCTTTACCATTTAATTTCTACAAGTGTTCCAAATGGGGGAGCTGTCTAGATGGTCCTTTAACTGAGTAATACCTTGCATAGCAAACGTAGATTCAAACGTCCCTAAAAAAGCTGCTGTAGACCACATGCAGATCTCCTGTTTGAACCCTGCTCTAAACTCATTTTTGAGTTAAAGCTCTATTTCTCCTGTAGTTGCAGCTCACTGTTGAACTCTTCTTGTCTATTTTTCCTTTGGTCTGGCTTAAAAAAACTGATTTTTTTTTTTTTTTTAAGTTGTCTATAAGATCTTCATGTCTTGATGGATCTGTGCTATACGTTCACCTCCCAGAGCTGAGGAAAGGTCACTGGCAGTTCACTCCCTCCTTAAAATTGGAGAGACTGAGTTGCTCTTTTCTACTAAAGTTACATATAGAAGCTGTGAGACATAAAAACAATATTATGCCAGCTTGTCAGAAATGTGCCAAGCAGCTGTCCCTCAGATTCCCCTTGTATGAGCATATATATGATGTTTTCAAAACCATAAAAGGTCTGAAACGCAAATAAAACAACTAATTGCAATTTTCTCACCAAACAGAAGTCATGGTTTGTTCAAAAGAGTGTTTTATTTTCCTTTTCTCTTTTTTTTTTTTTTTTTTCTTTTTTTTTTTCCCCTTATTGGCAAGAATGTGGACTTTGTTTGTCAGCTTGTGGGCCTACCTATAACAGTCAAAAGGTGAAATGCCTGAATATTAAGCCATAATCCATCATTGTACACACACTAATTACTTTCTGTCCTCCCCTTCTCTTGTCACTGTGGTCCAAAGCAGGTTTTCTGAGACTGAGTACATTCATCTGAGCTGTTAGCTGCTACGCTCCACCGCATCCCTGTATGATCTGCCTAGGCTTGGTCCCCCAGAGGAAATTTCTGCATGCATACTGTATATGAACTTTAGATAAATAAATAAACACGAGAAACAGCTTCCAGATAATTGAAAGCGAGTGAAGGAGGGAGCAAAAAGAAAACAATTTCTCAGGGGAGAAGCAAGCTGAGGTGGCAGGTATGATTAAAATCCATATGATTTATGAGTAGGTGCGTCGCTAACATGACAACCCCTCAGTGTTTGTTTGGTTTGTTGCGTTTGACAATAAAGTTTCTTTTTCCACCCACTTCACCTTTTTTTTCTGCTTTCCCCCCCTGCCCCTTCTCCTTTCTTCCTCTCTTTTTTTCCCCTCGTCTCCTTGCTGCAGGTTTTGCTCAGGAGTTGGCCACTCAGGAATTCCTAGTGCCTGACTGAGCAGTAATTTAGCAAGCTCTCTTGTGCTCTTTTCCTGTCAGCATTAACATGTCAATTCATTTTAATAGTCTGGGCATGCGCAGAGGGGATGCATTTTCTCAGTAGGTATCCCATGAGCCCACCCCGTGGTGCAGAAATGTGTTATAGCTTGTCTCAGGCCACAGAGACTTCAGCAGGTTTATTTTCGTTATGGCCAAGTGTATTTGTAAAGACAAAGCATGAACAAGGAGAAAGAGTATATACAACAAGATTTTAAAATATTAAACGGGATCTACATGTCTGATTGGTAATTTATGACCTATGCAAAGAAAAGGTTATAAAGCCTTTTTTTTTCTTTTTTGGGGGAAAGGGGTTGATATTATTTCATGGCAGTGCTGCCACTTCCTCTGTTTTTTTGGAAATTAAATGATACCATGCCACGCTGGGAATTATCTATAATCATGATTAATAGTTGAATTGGCTCTTATATTAAACCAGAATTTCCCTGCCATCCTTCTTATTGAAGAACCATTAGATAGATTTGTATCCAGTTTCTGGTCTCAAGTATCTAAAAGTGAGGACTGTCCAGTCCATGGGCCAATCCTTTGATTACAATACAACACTTCTACCTAAAAAATGCTTGAATCTCTGCAGGATTTAAAAGATATGGGTAGAAATCGTAGATTTGTAAGAGGATAAAACGAAAAAAAAATAATAGAAAGTATGACACCTTATGGCATCTTAAATGACATGGTATGACTTTTTTGCAGGTACAGCCTAAATTCAGCCAAGGAATTTTGGTTCTTCTGTACCTTCATGTGATTATTGAAGCACACTGAGCTGTGGTATCAACATCTGTATGGTACAAATACTTTTTCAGTCCAGCTGGACTCAGCTGCATGATCTGTGACCTGAAAAGGTAAGATTGCTATTTGTTTCTAAAGGATCCTTTTTATTTAAGGGAAATGTGCTCTCGTGGTAGGTTCTGCTCTCCAGGGGTCCGTGAAAGCTGCAATGTCCTAGAGTTGTGTGGGAATGTGCTTGTGCTGGGACACAGTTACAGCTGAGTAGGTGGAAAATTATGTCAGGAATCTGAAGTTTGGCATGGGGATTCCCTCTCCTTTGGCCATGAAAGGAATGATCTTACTTCCTCCAAGAAGAAAGTTGCAGAGTACCTTGTGAAGGAACAGCAAAGGCTCCACTCAATGGTGGTCAGTCAGTGCATTTCCCAAAAAAAGGCTGGCACAAAACTGTATGTCACAGCACTATAGAAAAGCCATGCAGGAACTAATAGTACAGGATGCTTAAAATTGGCCTCTTGTGAGCTGTTTGAATGGCAAAAAATACAGAGTTCAGATAAAGAAAATTCCAAGACTAATGGCAAATACCACAAGGACAAATTATATCAAGAAGGAAAAGTGAAAAACTCTTTACTTGGTGAGGGCCTGTGGCATCATCAGTGGCATCATAGAAGTGCTCCACGTAGCAATGTAAATGTGTGTCCAAACTACCTGCAGCCAGGGAACATTAGACCTATGGCACTGTGGAGGGTCATTCTGTGTTTGTGTCTGTCCATCTCCAGGTGCATTAAGGAATTTGGATAACAATGATACATAGATGGGGGCTGGTTGTTGTTGATGCTTAAGGGTAAAATTATGGATAGTTTGAAGCTTATCTGTGACATATGAGTCCCTATCACTAAGAGTCCCATAACTGCAAAAAGAAGTGATGTGGTCTTTTACCTTGTAGAGGAAAATATAAACAGGTAAAGAGAGAGTCAACATAAGGTCTCTGCCGGCATTTATTTAGTGAAACATTAAAACCATCTGAGCATTTTCTTGGATGTTTTCTAGGGCACAATGCATATGAAGCAAGGTTGTCTATGCACGTGTGCAGTTATACCACACACAAATTGAACTCAGTGGCCAAATTCTGGTTGATGATCAGAAGACACAAGCAGTTGCAGTAAATAATAAATTAGGTAGAGTATTCTGAACTGACATGCTTATAGAGCAGCATTGTGAGATTTTCCTCCTCATCAGGTACCTGAGAGCCTACTTTTGGAAGGAGGAGGAAAGAGAGAGAAGAGAGTTGATTTCTCATGAGAATTGCCCAACAGAAATTAAATTCAAGTGTCTGTTTGGCTTTTCTGAAGTCTAGTAAGTTAAGAAGCCAAACTTTGCTCTGTGTGGGAGTTTCCTACAAAGCGAAGTGCAGGGAAGGATTCATAGCCAGCTCTAGATAAGAGTGATAAGCAGAGGATTAGGTTTGAGAGCTAATTCCTGTGTGCTGTCTTTTCCCCAGAGAGACTAAGGGTTCATGCAAGAGGTGCCTCCATCTGTGCCAGACTTTGCAAACACACATTTTCATCCAACAAGTTTGGCTGCCAAGTTGCTTTACCTTAAGTCTTTTGCAAGTAGGTTCTGAACTGGAACTCATGTTGGCTTCTGGCAAAAACAGGAATGAAGATGTAAGGCGTGTAATGATTTGGCTCCTGAGAGAAAAGGTGTGTGTGTGAGGAGAACATTTTTCAGCCACACGACAGTTTCACCATGTGGGAAAAATGTCTGCTTAACTTTAAAGAGCAACTTGCAAAATCACAGAGTGTGTGAGGAAGATTGGTCATAGCAAAAAAGCGACATGGGAAGTGAACAGAGGAAGTCTGAGGCTTTAGGAGAAAATGATAAGCGTAGCAAGGGAGCTGTTTAAAGGGAGGGGTGAAGGGGCAGACATGAACCTCTAAATTTCCCCACCTGCAAAAAGAGGCTGAAAGCTGCAGGGGAATCTTGCTGCCCATGTGAGCATCGTTTCCCATGCAATGCAGAGCCAAGTGAGGAGAAAAGTAATTGCCTTGGATGGGAGGCACGATATGACATGAAATACAAGCACATCTTTTGTGGAATTTGTAAGCCATAAAAGTATTTTAATAACATCTGGTGCAGGGGCGTGTTGAAGCTTAATTAATTAGTCCTTGCAAAGGACTTGGAAATTCTGGGATCAAAGGTGTTGCATTAGTGCAAAATGCCATTATTATACCTATAAACGTGTGCTTGTTAACTTAAATGCTATTTATTTATTGCCGCTATATACTTGTATGGCAGTATATATCAAGTATATTACAAACATTTTAAAAGTACACTTTTTCATTGCATAAAGCTGTCCCTATTCAGGTTGCTGCTAATGCCACACAGAACCCCTAATTGACTCCGAGAAAGCCTCTGTCTTTGGGGTATGTGTGCGTGGTATGTCCCACTCTCTGATATTACTATGGATGCTGCTATGCAAGAGACAAAGATTATGCCCACAGCTATGACTGAAGCCTGAAAAATGCACATCAAGGTTCATAGGGTAGGGTAGGTGGGTCTGCTCAGTGTGTATTTGGACTGGATGCGTGGAATTGAGGTCTGCCATCTGCCTGTGGTCTTATTTTTGGTGCTTGTTTGTGTATTCCTTGCTTTGTAGCTGGTTATAAATAATAGAAATCCTAAGCAGTGCTCTGTTCCCACTAATTCAGAATTTAGCATCGCAGGTTGTTTACAAATCAAAGGAGCAAAGCACATGCATCCTCAGCAGTCAGTTAGAATGCAACGTCTTTTTCTTTTCCCTGTAATGGAGCATACAGTAAAATTATCCTTGCTCTAAGGCTGATTTTAGTTTTTGTTCCATGCTTGACATTGTGTCTTCCCATAGTTAACTTGGGATCTTCGCCTGGCTACAGGGGGAAAAAAAGTTTAGAAATGCACTCTGCACCATTATTTAGGCTAAATTTGTAAACTCTGCTCCCAACAACAGCATCATTGTAGATCTTTTTAAATATGGATGAAATATGAGTTTTTCTTTCAAGGTACAAAATGTCATTAAGGGCTCAGGTGGTTAAAATCAACATGAAAAATACATGCTGCATTTTCCCTCCTTAAATGCAATAATGTAATCAGATTTCAAGTCATCTTACCTACCTCACTTACAGCTTTATGGAGATTAATTAGTTTTTAGCCCCCAGTCACATGATCTTTTCTGACTGCCATTTAGCTACATTTGCTATCTGACTTGAACCTGTAAGCTGTCTCCTGCCCCAGAGGACAGATTAAATTTTACTATTGGTTGCCTCCTTCCTTTGATTTAAAGGTAGATAGTTAGAGTCTTAGTTCAATTATTCTTTGTTGTTAATTAGCCATGCACCGTCATCATTTCTTTGGAAAAAGCAAGAGGATAAGAAAAATGGCTCAAAAGTGGAAGACAACTTCTTTCCAGGGGCTGAGCTAAATAGGGTTCTCCTGATCAGGTGGAGAGCCATAACAGAGCTTTTAATTCACATCTCTATCACCTCTGGCTGCTTTGTGTTTGCTGGGCTTTTATGGCCGCCGATCAATACAGTTACCTTTCAGTTCAGCAAAGCACATGGGTCAGGCAGGAGGGGAGGGAGGATTTCTGCATCTCTAACTCACAGAGGTGTGAGCTGGTGCATGCCTATCCACATCTCCGGCACTCCGCCTTTGTTTTCCTAATTTTCTCTTTAAATTAACTTAAGCACTTATTCTATAGCGTGATTTTCTGTAAAGGAAATGCTTTATTCCTTGTTAAGAATGATTTCTAAGGCCATTTAATATCTAAGTAAATTCCATTCTCTTCCCCTAAATGTATTAGGTGCAATAAATGTACAGTGGATAAAGGAGTGTGTAGACAAAATCCTGCCCTTAAGTCTGGGTATCCTGTTTATGTCACTGCAATCCTCCTTTCTCAAGAAAGAAGAGCACATTTTGGCCCATACTGTGAAAAGACAAGAACTAGATAAGCTCCAGGGCAAAAAAAGGGAGAGGTGATTTTTTTCCCCCTTTTCTGCTTGTGATTAAAAACAAAGCAAATTATAAAGGGATTTAACTAGTATTGTTGCTCAGGATGGTGCACTACTGGGCTCCTCAGGAGCATATAACAAAAGATCAAAGGGTTCTTGGCTCCACACAACTAAATCAGCGCTAGGACGAGGAGCACTGGTGGCCCAATTTTTCCTTAGGTGAGAACTGGGAGTGAGTTAAGCTAATGAAATTGTTCTCTCTTACACATTAGAAATGTATCAGAGCCAAAGTCATTGAGGCATTTATACGGACATTTCATGGGGCTGCCTATTTGCCATTTGCTTCCTAAATTTTCTACAATTTGCTCTGCAGCACACGCTCACCTTGGTTAAATGGGGCTCAGCTCAGCAATATTCAGCAGAGCTGCGGCGGTTCCTGGCTCCGGCCACCAAAGCTCCACAGGATTTTCACTGCTCAGGTGTTGCAAAGCCTAATCCTTATTCAGGAACCAAAACGCTCCCCTCTCCTTGCCTGCGGTGCTTGGATGCCTGCCTTTGGCAGTAGCCCCAGACTCCTGCAGAAGATGAAGACATCCCTCCATGCCTATAGATGGAAAAGCGCCAACATGGATGCCATCAGAAGGACGCAGCTGAGCATATGCTGAGAAAATTGTGGCATCCATACTGTACATGGGGAAGGGCTGACTGAACACACCAGTTTGTTGAAGCTTATGGCCCTGAAAAGGAAACATAGGTTTCCTGTAAATGTCATTCAGGGATATGCTAACTGTTATTTCCTGGCACTGGATCATGATGCTTTCAACACATTCTGTTCCTCTACCTCTGCTGCTACCTCTGCTGCCTGCCTGCCTGGCTGTGCACAGTGATAGCTCTCCTGTCTTCTCACCTTTCCTCCTCCCCGCACCAGGCAAAGGTAAGAGAGAGTTGGGCAAAGTCTAAAATTGACTTTGTGACGGAGCTTTGAGGAAGAAAAAAAGAAACGGGAAGGTATGACAGGGTGTTGCATGCCTTCCCAGAGTTGCCACTATCTTGGGGTGTGTTTGGGCCCCATTACTTTCACTCCATTATGATGAACCAGTCCCCTGATGCCATTCAGCCATGGCATTTCATTTGTACAGATTGCTTTCAGCCTTAGTGCATATGCTATGTCTCCTTCACTATATAGTCTTAAGAGACTTCCCTAAGTACCCTTTGCAATATGAGATGTCTCTTTGGTTGTCTGCACTCCTCATCTCCCTCCGTTCCTCCATCCTTCAGGTATTCTGGTTGGGAGGGCCAGTGTCAGCGTGCGAGATGACGGACAGAGAGATGAAATCTCAACACTGTACTCAGCCTGGCTGCTGCCTGTACCTGGGCCTTGCTGCACCATTCCTTGAATGCAAAGCAATTCAAGGAAAAGAGGTAAATTCTCAAAAAAAAACAACCACCCAACAACCAACAACACTCTAGTTTGGGCTGCTGAGGGCATTATTCCAAGCAAAGGAGCAAAGACCCCCAATCTTTTGTTCCAGTGATAAAGGGGATACGTTATCTCTATTCCAGCTCCGAGCTATATAATACGTCAATGAAAAGCAAGTTTCTCTGTGTAGTGAATAAGGATCATTGTTTCGGGGATAATGAGGCTCCACTCCCTTTTGGCTCCCTCTGAAAGCTCGCAGCCCTGGCGAAGGAGCAGTGCTGAGGGTCCGCCAAGCCTCCCCTGAATGCGGCGGTGACAGGCGTGATTTTCACAGTTATCATTAAGTGGCATGTGAGTGGCTTTGTGTGCCACGTTATACTGTATCAAGGCACCATAAACAAGCAATTGGTACAGGAATGTCACCTCCTACCATCCGCCCTTTGCCATAATGGTATTGTGTTTGATTGATTAGATTTCTTCCCCCCTCTCCACAAGTCAAGGCAAGAAAGAAAATAATAAAACTGGCATAATAACTTTATCCATACAAATAAAAACAGAGGAAAAAAAAAAAAAAAAAGTAGATTACAGTTGGGTATCAGTGGGACAATTTATATTGCACAATTGGGATGAATAGTGCTTTTACTGACGTGATAGGGAACTTCAAGTGGCACAATACTAAGCAGGATCACATCAGGGCAGTCTGGAAAACTCTGGTTGAAGCTTCAGGTGAAAGCCAGGGAAGAAGCATATTGAAAATTTGCCATCTCTTTCATCTTTTTCTGCCTAAGCATGAATCTGAGTCCTTTCATTCAGGGCTACCTGTGTTTGAGAAGCTCAGGCCTAATAGCTGACGTGACAGACAGTAATAAGGAGCAACCAATTAGCATTGTGATGGTGTGGTTACTTTCAGGTGGTATTTCCATGCACAAAATAATCCCGTTTCCCAAAAACAAACCATTCATACTGGAAACATGGAGCCCTGAGAGGCTGCAGCAGCAGGGATAAGTGCAATGCCTCTCCTGGGGTAGTTGTATTCCAGAGCAGCCAAACAAAGGAAATACTGCAAATGCATGAAAAAGAGACTATCTCTAAGAAAGCACTGGTGGTACTGGTTTCTATGCACCATGATTATTCCCTGACCAACTGTGGAGCTTAGGAGTGATCAGTTTTGGGTTACTTTATCTGTTCTCCTATGTCTTCTTTGATGCTAAATGTTCAGCATTCGTTTTGCAGTTCAGTCCCTTTATCCCATTGTTATTAATAAGAATAAATAGGAACGAACAGGCAAAAAGCCAAAGAAAACAAGATTTAAACCAAATGAGTCTACTTTACAACTGGCTCTGAGTGTGACCAGGTTTGCCTGGAGTGGAAACATCTCAAGGCAAATGTTGATGCTTAATGCAAGGAGATTCTTTACTGTACAGATGCTTATTCCGGCCATTTTTGGAGGCAGAAAAGAGCACAGCATACTCTGTGCCACGTGTGAGGAATCACTGCTCATGTAGGATGTACTATTATTTGATACCTGTTATTTACTAACACAGTGGAACTAAAGACCTAGGCACTGCTGGACCCAGTTCACGAATATTTATTGCACCAAATCCAATCTATAATATAGTGTCAGCCTTGTACCAAAGCAGGAGACAGTAGTATTTATGATTATTAGTACAATATTGAATCATCCTGAACCAATTACTGGTCCAATTACTGTGTCATTATTATCTTCTGAATAGGGCTTGATTTGTCTGTGATAAATATGATGCAATTAAACTACCTTTTTACATAATAAAACACTGCAGGTGTTTATTCTTAAGGGTTTACGGATACCAACAACCAATAGATTTAATTAAAAAAATCCTTGAAATAAATGTGAATTTCATTAAATTGTTCTAGCACTGGTGAATATTTTAAGACTATCAAAAGATTCCCTCTCTATAATCTCTCTTAAAAGGCATGCTAAGTGGAGAAAAACAATGACTCCAGCTTTTAATATTTCAATAATTAATAACATTTCTTTCAAGAATGTATAATTGGTCTGTAATAGTAGAACTTAAGAAACAAAAAAAGTTATGTGGGTCAAATTGCTATTACTGTTGTGGGATTCTGGCTTAACAAGAAATCTTACTAAATTCTGATTTCTGCTCAGTAATTTTAAATTGAATCTCACATTTTTAGCATTATGGTCATAAATATTATGTTGACTTAGCTCTGGTTTGGTACTAGCAGTGTGTACAGAACTACACTGAGATGGTTTTGTATTATGTGAAGACAAGGTCATTAACATGAAACCTTACCTGGAATTATCTTGTCTCGAGATAAATAGTTGGAGCTTTAGCTATGAAGTAGCTCAGGTCAATACAACGTAGATGTGAATTAAACCCATTGCTAGGCCATTCTATGCTGTAGAAAGGGAAGTTCCCCTTCCAGTTTGGCAGCTGGATTGCCCTAGTGCACAGGGTTCAGACATGTAGGACCAGTATTGCCATTCTCCATCCTCTCTCCCATCTGTGGCTGTAGTCAGTGCTGGCTCATCAATGCTGTGTGTAAGTTGGATTTTTCTTTTCTTTTTTTCCAATTTGAACTGCAATAGTTTCCAATGTCAACAGAAGATCTGTAAGGGGATGCTTGGCACTGGCAGCCCTTCTTCAAGGTTTCTTTAGCAGCACACCCAGCTAAAGTCAGGGCAGGTAGGATCTCATAACCCAACCTCGCATGTGTGGCTGGAGAGGAACTTAGAAGAGCTAAGCATGGTGGCCAGCTGTGAGCCCCCAAACCACACTCATGGTGGTGAAGCCCCTGGAGCTTCAGACTTAAGCACAGCCCCAGACTTAAGCACACCCACGAGCAGAGGATGTGTTGGCCAGGAGATGCCATAGCTCTAGCTCCATTCAATGTTCGGGCTGCAGCACAGGGCAGGATGAATACCCATGGGACGTGTTATTGCTCTGCAACCCCACCGATCCCACCCATCAATCTTCCCCTTGGCATGGAACACAGTATATGACAAAATAAAGCTTCTACATGAGGTTTATTAAGCAAGACAAGGTCAGGCTCTTAGTTGCAAGGCTGGAAACGAAAGGCTACAAGCAAAACAAATATAAACACAATCCCAGCCGAAGCTTAAACAACTGGATTCCTTTTCAGTTGTCTTGTCCAGTTTCTCAGATCCTGAAGACAGAGTGCAGCTGTTGGGATGTGAAGCATCCTAACTCCTGCCCTGAATCCCAATCCAACAGTCAGACACAGGGCTGGCAGCTTGGCTTATCTTCTCATTCTGTTCTCTCTTCTTGGGGCACGTTTGCACTCTTTGGGTCTGCAACCAGAACAACAATTTAGTGGTGACCCCACAGCATGCACAGTGTGCCTTTTCTCTGGGATACTGCTGCAATCCCACTTTTATTCTTTAATCCCACCTCAAGGGGTGACTTTCTCATCCATCCTTGCTCCCTAATTTCCAAATCAGGAGTAAATGCCTCCTATTGCATCGCTCTTGCTGTGTATGTAGCACGGCCAGTTACTAGCACTATACACTGCCATCCCTCATAGGGGTTTCAACACCAAAATTAGGAGAAAGAATGACATTAAACAACACTTTTGACTTGTTTGCAAGCTAAAATCAAGGCTGATTTTAGGCCAGAAACTTCTGCTGCCAGAAGCACTTAAGTGGCCAGGTCATCTTCATGTGCAGTGTGAACAAGGGGCGTTGCATGCTCTTGGATGCTGGTGCTCTGATTTATAGTAGTCACAGCCCTACACCAAAGTACAAATCAATAAACACTGAAACAGAACCACACTGAGTAGGAGAGCAAAAGTATAGAAAAAAAAGAATAACACAGCCCTCCCAAAAATGGCAATTGAAAGGAAGCATTCTGGATAAGCAACTCCAATAATTATTTCAAAGTAACCAACAAAGTCGAGTCTCTACTGCAATCTTTTGCCCTTCAGGGTGGCCATATGAGGTTCTGAGGATTTGTTCCCTGGGATGCATGGTGTGCCAAGCAGCATACGGTAGCATTGCAGGTCTAAAAGAAAGAGTATTAATGGATGGATAATTGCCCACCTTGTAAAAATTTACTGGGAACCTGATGCTTTTATCATTTGTCACAAACAATGCCACGGTGTAATAATGAAGGAAGTATCACTGGTACTATAAAGAAGTGATGGTGCAAATTACACTTCACTTTTGAGGAACGATGTTAAGTAGCAGGGAGTTCCCATTTTTTTTTTTTTAAATTGCCAAAATTTCAGTAATTGTCAGTGTGTATTTGTGAGGATCAACTGATAATTTGGAACATATGCTGTCAATGCTTCATTTTCTCTATATTTTTAAATGAAAAAAAAAAAAAGTCCAATTTCACAGTGGCAAGATTAAAAAAAAAAATCTCATTTTGTTTTCCTGTCTGTAGTGTTAAGAAAGGAAGTTCATTTCTTGCAGCATAAAGGGATATTAATGAATGCAAGGAGCATTCTCCATATTGCAGAATAAAATTTACTGTTCTAACCTAAGATATTTCATATAAATTAAGAGTTTGTTTAAAAAAATCGAAAATGGGAACTCAATTCTAGACAACGCTTAATTTAAACTAAGTGTTAAAATAAAAGCAATAACACTGTGAATAAATTAATGAACTACAATTAAATATATTTACAATAAGTGGTTTGGTTGGAAACACCTATTCCCTGCACTGATAAAATAAAACCTGCATTCTGCAAAAGCTGAAATAAGTTAAATGAAGATGCTTTTAACAAGGTTATTACTTAAGCAGTGACAGGTTTACAGATTTTAGCACCATTGGGTTTTCACAGGAGCTGCAGCAAGTGCTAAAATAACACACACCTTCAGGTTCATTAAATTCACCAGTGTGATGAAATAACTGATATTTTTCTATATTACTACAGTGCTGCAAAGAACCGACTATAAATAAGATACACTAATAACAACTGTTTGCAGTGCTAAAACAATAAAATAATTCTGCCAGGCTTCTATGCTAAGGAAGAAATAGGCACAAGGCAGACTGTGAGCATAGTTATATCCATATGGTGGCTTTTGCTCCATTGGTACTGTGCCTTCAGTCATTTATTTATCACAGAAATGCCCTAGAAAATGTTTTATTCTTTGCTGTGGCAGGAAGAAACTTGTTAAAAGGGTACATGAGGAGAGGGCACCCATCCCAAAATATTTGCTTTCTAGTCTGGTGAAGCGTTTCCAAAGTGAAGAACTAATTTTTAAGAAAGAGCATTTCAGATGATACTAAAATCCCACATTATACTCTGTTTTGGAAAGAACCCATGCCGAAAAAAGCAGATTTCTAATAAATCAATGGAGTATGGCCTTTGGAGACCTGGGAGACATATGGACGGTAATAGAGTATCTCAGGTTATTTGGTGAACGGTTCCATCTGGATGAGGGCTCGGTGCTGTTCACAGCCCCCTTCTCTCTCAAACACCTTCCACTCTCCCTGCAGCCCTATCTCAAATGTCAGACCACCTGGGATCTGCAGCTGTCGGCTGAAAGCGGAGCTGCTGGGTGAAAACCCACTGAGCTCGGCCTGCAGGGCTTGTGCTGGGCACGGTGTTCAGTGCCTCCTTCCATTTTAGGTACATGTATTTTAACTGCATATGTGTGCACATGCAAACATAAATATGCACACCTGATAACTGGGATACCCGTTTGCAATGCCAGGTTTGGTTCCTGCAGGGAACCCATATTCAGAGAGGTGCAGAAGCTATGTGAAAGGGGATGTTGCCCAAATTTTGCAGTGCTTTATCTTCTGTGCAGCTTGGCTCTCCGGGAGCAGGAAACCATGTTTCAGAAATACAGGCCATATCTAAGTGGTTACACAGATCACAGAATTTCTTTTCCCCACATGTTGTAAGGGAGTGGTAGTGTTGCAGTGTGGGAAATCCACAGGGCTTGATCCATCCCACTGCAAAGCTGATATATTGTGCATGGAATTGGGAGCACAGGGCAGGAGACCACTGAGGTTTGCAATCGCGTCACTCCTTCAAGCAATAGAGATTTGAGTGCATGGGGTCCAGCAGTGCATGCACAGGTTACACCTCTCCCAGATGCTGCCTGAGCTCCCCACAACATCCACTATCTAAAATTACAGAGAAAAAAATCCTGTGTAACCTCAGCTAGAGTATTTTCTGACAGTGGCTTAAGACTTCTATGCCTACCCAAACTGATCCTACCTTGATTTTATATCTCTATCAATCTTTTTGGGGGGAAAAGCTTGAAGGTATTTGTTAATTTGCCTAGAATTTTTTGTGAAACGTGGGGAAAATTTGGTGGGAAAGCTTTTGGAGAGTGAATTGCTTCCGTGTGCCTGGCAGCTGTTAATAATTTATACTTCACGTGAAAAGAAAATTGATCAGGAGCATCCTGGAGAGACCAATCCATGCTGCCTCTGCCATCAGCTGAGACAGAAACAAAACACGAGGCATGAACTGAAAGATAATGCACAAAAAAAGTGCTCCCCCTCCCAATCCAAGCAGCATGACTGGTGAGGATGTTAAAGGGATGAGCAGCACAGCATCCTTTGAAGCCCAGTCATGGAGACAAGGTTGTGGGAAATGGTCCTGCAGCGAAAAGTGGTCAAAAGTTCTTACAGTGAAGATGAGGGCGGCTCCGTTTCCTGAAGGCAGCACTCCACATCAAACAGCCCTTTGTGGAAAAGTTGAAAACGCACTCATACTGGGATGAAGATGAGCTCCAGCACCTGGGGCTGGGTGGGAGGTCAAAGAAAGAGTGCTGGTGGACCTGTTCTGTGAAATGTGTTTACATTTCCTACCAAAGAAATGGTCAGAAATGATTCCCAAATGGAATCTGGGAAGCGTTTGTTGAGCTTCAATTTCATCCTGTGTCCACTGATTCAACCCTTGTTTTCTCTGTGCCATTCTTTCACTTAAAGTAACCTCTGTTACATTAGAAATCACACGTTTCTGACCCAGAAAGAGAGGAATTTCACAGCCTCCCAGGACACGTGCTGGAGGGAGGATTTCTGGAGCCTAAACCAGAGAAGCCCAGGAGATGTTGGTGTGAAGGCTCACTGCAAGCATCTGCTGCTTCTGGAGGAGGTCCTGTGGCAATGCATGTGCTCAGGATGAATAGGTAAAGCTATCTTGTACTAGTAGATATTTTTCCCTCTGGTTTATACATATTTGAAAAGCTACACATGAATAAACACATAAATTAATGCTAGATGTACTTCTTATCCGTGCAAGTGTGAGCTGTATGTATACAGATACACATACAAATATGGGCATAGTTATCAGCCTTGGTTATCCTACTTGTTAAGGTAATTGTGTCATTTAAATTCTGTCATACTTGCTTCAAGACAGATTCATTAACTGCTCCTATTTATTACTCCAGCATCCGAGCACCTGTTTCTTAGAGGTAAAATCAGAACAAATCCCCTAATTTCCCAGGTTCTTTTGCTGTTTTTGCTTGGAAATAATGAGATGCTTATATTCAAAGAAAAAAATGATGTATCTGATGCTGAAAAATACAATCAAGTTAATTATTTAGGTATACTGAGGTGAAATTATTGGATTTGTTTGTCTGTGTAGATTGCGTTCTTTGTGCTGGCATAAGAACTGATGCTGGTCAAATTCTGTGAACACAGTTATTATCATATTTAGTATCTTAAACGTGTGCATATATAACTGCTTTATACGTGTTTGTGCTTCCAACATATCAGACTGTCTAAGAGAAAGCATTTCTAGTCGCAGTATCAGATTGCTTACTGCTCTCTCCACAGTCAGCTAGATCATAAGGAGAAGAGGAAAGAACTACAGAAGCTCTGACTATCATTTTTTTTTCCTCTCTATTTATTTAGGAATTCATGTTAGCAGAAGAAACAACTCCTTTGTAGTAATGCTCTGTAGGTGTTATCAGGGCTAATGTTATGGTGGCATGTTTTAGTCCAAAAATTTTACTGCTCAGGTCCATGCTACACCATTTGTCAGTTGTTTACACCCTACATATGGATTAGCACTGTATGCTAACCATGAAAACCTGTTCTGCTCTTAACCCACCTGAATGAAGCACTGATGCAGCTCACCGCATCTGATATTTATCTTTACTTCCCCAAGATGCTGGACCACAAAAAGCAGGAACAGGTACAGGTGACTTGGTAGTGTAAAAAACTCTCCCCATGTTTTATCCATCACTGAATGTCAAGTTTAAAGATGTTTGTAATGATTTGCCACTGTTGAAATCCAAAGTAAGACTCAGAATGTGTCTGTTTTGGCCAACTAGTAATGGCTGCTTGAAAGACATTGAACCAAAGTACTTTTGGGCAACTACTGGTTCACTGCCTGAAAACAAATCTTTTTATTTATTCTGTCTCCTATACCCACTGTTCAGATTTCCTTCAGGAAACATACCCTGGCCCCTGTCCACTGTTAGATAGTTCGGAGTGAGGTGGTCTTCGCAGTGATTAAGCACAGATTTTGCAGAGAAGGGAGAAAGCGTTGTGGGCAAGGACCTGTGGACTGAAAGTCAGAGTAACTGTAATGCAATGCCATCACCCCACCTCACAGCTCAGAGGCTTTGCACATCTCATGGGCTGCCTGGAGCCTACACAGTTCACAGAGTGGAAAAAGGAATTGAAGAAGCAAAAATAAATATTGAATCACGTAAGAATTAAATATCACCTATTTAAATAGCAATTACGCCGCTAAAAACAAGATCACCACACCTGTACAAGAAAAGACAAGCAAGCCCAAAACATCTGTTTGCATCCACCTGCCAAGCACCTGTTCCGCTGTTTCAATGCCATTTGATTGCTGGAGATGTAGAGGCTCTTGTGAGGTAATGAGTGATTTTACATTATGCATGATTGAAAACAGGTGTTCTAATGCTGTACAATTCTGTGCATGAATAATTCAGTTTGTTTAGAGCAAGATCTTTAAAAGAAGTATGGTCTTTATTTTTTTTAAATATTAAAGTTATTCTCTGCAATGTGCAGAGTGGCTGGTCTTCTCAGCAGGAGCACTGATGACCATTTTTGTGTAATTCTATGGGCAGGAAAAAAACACTGTGAAAGGTAAAAAAAAAAAAAAAAAAAAAATTATACCTAAGGCACACAAGCAATGAAATTGAAAGGTTTCTTTAGCAAGGAGGGGGAAAAACCTGTCACTGTTTTAAGCGAGAAAGCCAGATGACTTTTGGCAAAGCCTGCTTCTCAACACTAACAAAACAGCCCAAGAGCTTAATTATATGGAGGGGTGAATGTGCCTCAGGGATAAGTAAGAGCTAGTCCATCTCTTGGTCCGATTTCCAGCTGAGTCTGAATATGTTTAAGAATTTGGGCTGCTTTTTTTTTTTTCCTCTCTCTCTTTTTCCTCCTGATTATGAAAAGGATTTCTGTGCAGTTGTATGCTTTGTGCTGGTACAAGATGCTGCAGACTCAGGTCTTTATTTGCAGGCCGGTCGTCTCACAGGGAACTGTATGCAGAATCCATCAGCTCCTCATCACGAACTCAGTTGTTCTTTGAGACCATCTCCCAGAGATGAGGAAGATGTGTTAATCCAAATGAAGAGACGCAGCCAAGCTTGGAGCATCCTCTCTGCTGCTTCCCAAGGTAAGCCTGCAGCTGGCGTGGCCTCGTGCCTTCAGCCAGGGCTGTTTTGAGGTGGGAACAGAAGAAGAGAGCAGCCAAGGGTTCTCCTGCCCCAGCATGTGCCTGCTCCCCCTTTGCTTTCTCAGTAATTAGTGTCAGTGATGGTGTTAGATGCTATTATGGGAAGATTCTGCTGAGAACAGAGCTGAGCTCTCCATGAGCACTTCCCAGGGGAGCTCTGGCACTTTGTCCTCTTTCCCCAATCTCACTGCAGGCACTGCAGCAGCTTCTTGGACTCACAGCTGATTTGATGCTGTGTTTGATACAAAGCTGCTGGAGGGTATTTTATACCTGAGGGGTCACATCCTGGGACAGGCAAGGATCAAAGAAGTGGAAAAGGCTGCCAGCCCTGCCGAGGTATTGTGGTGAACAGCCTAAAATTTTGGTGACAGCAGCGTGGAAGGTGGAAGGGAACAAAAACTTTCAGATCTTCTCAACAGCCATGTCCTGCCCATTGCCCTTGATGGGGCAACAAAATGAGGAAAGAGTAAGAGGAGAAAAAGATGAGTAATGTGAAAGTAGGAATGGATGAAGTCAAGAGGCCAAAAGAAATTCATAAAGCATGCTGCAATAAGTAATTCTTAACACACGCTGCAATGCCCTGTGCTAAAGAAAGACTGTACGGTGATTCCAGGACACTGATATTTAGTACTGCAGGTATAGAACCTTCAAATTTTGGATCTTGTGGCCATCAGGGTTCGTGGAGTGGTTTGAGTGTGCAGTGTAGGGTAGAACAAGAGAGGGTAAAAAACCCAAGAGTCCAAAAGAGCACAGTGTGCCTCAGGTCCTCAGTGGGTAGACAGGGATAACTTAAGCTCTGTGCCCTGCACTTCCCAGGAGATGTCAGCCCAGGGTTCCTGCAGGACTAAAAGCCTCCATGGCCATGCTTGGCTAAGCAAGCAGACATTTAGGGGTTTAACTGAAGTGGATCTGTAATCTTTCAGTATTTTATAATACAGTATGTTACAGGAGACCATAAATTAGAGCTTATAATACCCGATCCGCTCAGCTACTGACAGAATATCTAAGGTAATCTGACCTGCTTCACAGACCGTGAGAAAAATCCTCATGGAAAGTGAAAGAGATGAATTACAGAATTTTACAGAGAAGTGGGAGAATTTCTCTCGGCTCAGATCTTGGGTTAATTCCCATGTAAGGTGAAAGAATGTTTCACCACGTTTTGCTCAACTGAAGTTGGCAAGCTTTAATAGATGCAGCCCTGCAGGCTGAGGGATAAACTCTGCTCCCTTTCACTCACTTGAGCCATTGCCCATGTGATCAGCAATGTGGGTAATAATAAAGTGAAGGAAATAAGGGAATAGATCTACGAGAGAAAGCAAACGATGGGACGAAATGCTGCAAAATGTCTGAAGAGGTTGTTTTTTTTCTCATGAGGAGGAGGGATACATCCTGGTGCTCTGCCTCCTCAGTAAGGAAAGCATTTCCTTTCTGCTCGGAGCTGTTGTTCCTCCCTGTCACAAGCAGAGAATAAATGCAGTCTCATAATTACAGCATGCTGAAGATGGAAGCTTTTCTTATAGATGTACAACTCCTTTTTTTCCCTCCTGGTAATAGTTGATCTATAGAACTGTGATTGTTTCAAATGGAAGCTAGCAGTTACTTTCTGTTTTCTGCTTTAAGTCTTTATGTTTGGGAAATGTGTCTCCAGAGATGCCTCCTTCTCTCACCTCTTCACAGAACAGTGAGAGGTGCCAGCAGCTCTTTTGCCACTTTTCTAACTATTTCCATTCCCCTTCTAGGTACTTATGTTTCATACTTGCTCTCTCAGTCAATTCCTGCAAGAACTAAAAAGTGGGTCTTGGTCATGTTACGTTGGATGCTGATTTCTGAGCCAGGTCAGGTGCCTGCAGGGAGGAAAATATTTGGTTTTCTGCCATCATTCTGTGTGTCACACCTTTACTGCAAGGTGTCCAAAGGAAATGAACTTTTCCAGAAAAACAGCCCAAAGAAAATCTTTGGAGTTTCTCTTTTGTGAGTACGTCTGTGTGATCCAGGCCTTCTGTGAGGTTTCTAGATGAGGCACTGGTAAGATGAATGGGGACCTTTGTGTTATCTGGGATGGGGCAGCAAGCACACAGCTTCCGAAGTCTTTTCAGGAACTCAGATGGAAGATGTTACGCAAATCCAAACCATGCATTTTTTAATAACTCCTGTGATTTATTTGATAAATGTGTCATCTTTACCTTCCAACTTCTTTGGCCTTGGTTTCTTTTCAAGAATTAACCAGGAGCTGATGAATTTATGGGAAATTTTCCAGTGCTGACCAGATCTGAGATCTTGATATCTGTGTGCACTTTCTCAAGGTACCAGTAGTCCCATTTCCTCAACCAGTAGTACACTCCTTCTTATTCTCAGTCATTACTATGTTGAAACTGCCAAGTGTTCTTTCCACCTCTTTAATTTTGTTCTCAGAAGAAATCCTTCACTTCTTTGTATGCAGAGGCTGCTGTGGTCTGGATCTCATCTCGTCTACTAGTAACATCTTCCAGATTTGTTTTAAACTGATTAGACGCTGCTGAAGAATCAGCTCTCTCCCCCGGACAGTACAAAGCAGAGTGCTGGCAGAGCTGGCTCTTGGCCATCAGCTACATGGTGACACAGCATCACATCACTTGACAGCCCCAGTTTCATTTGGGGAGCTGTGAGACATTCACATGTGCTGAAAAAAATAAAAATAATACCCAAGGTGACAGGAGGGTGCAATTAAAACAGAAGCGCCAGCTTGACCAGAGAGTAGCTTTAATTGGAGGCCTTCTTCTATATGCTGGAACACGGACTCTAAAAGGTATTTCTGTCCTTCTAATGTGGCTGCATTTCTGCCTCTGAATTTTGATTTTGAAAAACAGAAAATGATGCTTTTTATTGGGCCACTGAGAGAAATTACAGGGAATGAGCAGAGTGAATTTAAAATTCTCTCAGTAGGGTATGAAGGCAGGGAAATACTTGTCCCTCAGTAGCTCAATAACTTCCAGTGCACGTTAGACATAGGGACACTCATTCCCAGTGCTCACCTAAGCATGGAGGTTCATGTAAGTGAGGATCACATGTACTGTCACCACCTCGCTTCTCTGCTGGATGGATATCACCCTCACTTAAACGTAAGGAGGAAATTCAGAAGGTCACCACATCAAACACTAATTCTGAAATTCATTTCTCCCTAAAGATTAATATAAAGCCCAAAATGAAATACTCTTCAAATAAGCAAAGTTGGCTGCAGTATTTCAGTCTTCCCATCACAGTGTCCTAAGAGGTATCCTGTGGTTTGACACATAATTAATATGTTTATCTATCTTTGCTTTTTTTCATTCTTTGTTTTCAATAACAGCCATCACCATAATAGTCAAATATAAACATTCCATCCTGTTCCATAAAGAGCCTAAGGTCCGCTTTATTGCAACACAGTTACTTTCCCAGATCCCACGAGCGACAAGGCGTGATGCCTCAAAAAAAATTCCCTGAAATTTTCTCACCGTTTTTGCTTGAAGTAAGTTGCATTCTGTTTACAAACTTGGGAAAATGAGCCTCTTTTGCCTTCTTTGAGTGTCATGGGAACACATACCGAGGTCTGATCCAGTAGCGCTGCGTGATGCTGCTGGGAGCTTCTCAGGGTCCCATAATTTGCCCCCGAGGGTGTTTCAGGATGCGGTGTAAAGCTGCATGCTGTTTGCCATGTGCAAGGTCCCAGACACATGGCAAATCAGACTGGCTCCAGTATCAAAAGCTGATCATTTTTCAGACAAACATAGCTATGATTTTTGTTATTTATTCACGTCGAAAGGTTAATACGCCCTCATTACTCTAAATTATTTCATTTTCAACTTACAGTACGTTCATGGATTATTTGAAGGAATTACTGGCTTTAGCTTATGTTATCTGTGACTCACTTTTTATAGACTTGACTGGACAGGTAATTTCCACAGTATTGTTTTTGGCTCCTTAACTGGATCCCATCCAAGCTTACAAAGTGCTTCTACAGAGATAATGGAGAACATTCCAGCCTCCTGTGAAATGTCAGCTCTGTGTCCAGAGCTAGATGTGCAGCATTAACCTGGTTAAAGCTGCTAGGTTCTGTAATTTCTTGCTTGGAAGTACCGAACACCGTAAAGAATCACAGAATCACAGAATTGTAGGGGTTGGAAGGGACCTCCAGACATCATCGAGTCCAACCCCCCTGCCAAAGCAGATTCCCTACAGCAGGTCGCACAGGTAGGCATCCAGGCAAGTCTTGAACATCTCCAGAGAAGGAGACTCCACAACCAAAGACACCAAATCAAATCTGCCAAAAGCAGGAAAGAAAGAGCAAATGGGAGACTCAGAGCGAGAGAGAAAAGTAAATGCAATGCTATTACTTTACACCAAAGAATTTGTAAGTTAATTGATGTCCATAATAAACTTTCAGTAGAAAAGTATTAAATATTTTTGAAGATGTGTGTAAATCCAGTATTGGGGAAAAAAAAAAAAAGTTACTGTTATCTGGGTTTAATCAGCTGAGAAAAGCATGATGATAAATAAGATTTAGTGGAAGCATAAATTGAAAATGTCAAATAATACTTTTAAGAAGGGAGCCTACTGGAATACGTATGTCTCTATGTCTCTGAGGTATTTGATTTGGAATATATAATCATCTCCTTTGAGGATATTTATGAAAGTTATTTCTGAATGTTCAGAGGTTTCTCTGCTTTTCATTATCTATTTTTCTTAACAAGGGCCAGAACTGTATGCCTGATTTTCTGTGATATATTCACTTGGGAGGTTTTCTTGTACTGGCCAAGGACACATCATTTACAAGAAGGTCCTGTCAAGCATCCAAATGTCTCTGCTGAAGCTTCCATTTTAGATGACCCCACAGAATGTGAGAAAACCTTCTTTTAGGGGAATGGCATCTTCTGGCCAGAGCTTTGTCCAGAAATTCTACTGTGTTTAACATGCAGTTGAAATGCCCAATGCAAAATAATGGTAGAGGTAGGGGCGATGTATTTGTGTTTTCTCAAGAAAGAAAACTCAAACCCTTGGGATGATATTTTCCACGTGCGTGATTACCTTCACTGCAATTTGGATTTCTGAGAAGGTCATTTGGACTTTTGGGCCCCATGTTCTGGAGAAATCTGAAGAATTTGGGTCATCTTCCTCTCTTGACTTAAAAATAACTTCTGTTAATGCAATTTGGAATGCGTATTTCTTCGAATATGCTCTTCCATTTGCAGAGGGGGCAAAGTTTACAATTTTGGGTGGAAACCATGTGAAAGCTAGCGGTTCCATCAGGGTTTTGTTTTGAAATTTTTGGATTTGTTCAAATTCAAAAGTCAGAGTGAAACTCGGGGGATGTGAACCCGCTTGAATCAAAACCAAAAAAGTGATGCGCCAGATCTCCCATGAACCAAAACCACCGGCTTCTCACAGTTCTCATCCAAACAAAAATGCACTAATATAAATCAAATACCAAACCAAACATCCTCTTTTGCACTGTCTGGTTTTCATGGAAATAACACAGAATATTTAAAATGTCTGCTCAGTTTTGCAGCAGCAACTACCAAAATATCCTGAGATCATTTGATATCTGGCAGTTAATATCCTGATCTATTCTTTTTAGTCAGTAATCCAATCCTTTTCGACCAACACTGCCTTGGCGTGCACAGCATTACTATCCCTTAACATCTTCCTCGATTGTACAGTTTCACAGGGAAAACTGTGAACAATTCAGTCTTTCTCCTTCTCATTCTTGCTCAGAGAGCCAAGAAAGGAGTTGGAGCTGCAAGCAGATGAAAAATCCAAACAGTACGATCAGTACGGAAGCAGAACACTTAACTGCTATAGGACAAGGTGGAGTACTGAGAAAATATTCAATGATAATTTTCCTTGTGATTTACCTTGTTTGAGACCATACTATGACTCTGAAATGAGAGAATTAAAAAAAAAAAAAGATGTTCTGCAGTGTATCACGTAGCAAAAAGTTTCTAAAGCCATTCAAAAAAAAGTGCTGGGCATGGAAGAACAGAGGTTTCCTCTGTAACTAAGACACGCTTGTTTGCAATAACACGTGCTTTCAAACACTGCCAAGTTGCTGAGGATATCTCTGTTATATACAATCATGTTAAAAAAAAAAAAAAGGTAATGTTAAAAAAAAAAAAAGCTAAAAAAAAGTTTGATCAGATGGTTAAAATCCAGTCAAACCTAAAACAACCTGCTTATGACCTTTCCATGCTAAAAGCTAAAAATGTCTTTTTTTTTTTTTTTTTTTTTTCCCCACAAGATTAATTACCATCACTTTGGGAGTACTGAGCTGGACATTATTATATGATGTCAATTAATGATTAAAAAAAAGGTGGTTTGCAAATGTAGCACCACAGTCCCTGGTGCATTACATCATTTCTGAAAGATCTTAACACGTGATAAGCAGAGAACATTTTAACCTAAAAGTCTGAGTGTTACAACCTCCTTTTCTGTTGTAACACCCTACCCACAACCTTTTGGCCTCGAAGTCACTCGCAATAAAATTAAGAAGTCAAAAAGAAAAGGGAAAAAAAAAAAACAACCTCTGGGAAAGACAAGACACATTCCTATTTTGCTGTCGGGCAGATAATGCAGCAAAATGAGTGGCTGTATGCATTGGGAAACGCAGAGCTGATCTTCCTATGTGCACTGTTCTCAGCAAGATTCGTCATCAAAATCTCATGCTTGGAGGCATAAGGTTGCTGTGATTCAGGTATTACAAACTACATAATACAGTTAGCTCTGTGAGAGTGCCTCGAAAATTTCATGTGCTGAGTGAAATGACTCCTGCACTTGCCCAGGTGCTGCTTCCCCAGATGGGCTGACAATGATCATTTTATGTGCCTTATTGAATTCGCTGAAATATTTAGAAGGGTTTCTACCTATATTTTACATCTCCTTCTGTTATAACCTTTTTTTTGCAGCAACAGTTTGACTTCTTTGTCAATAATACACATAACCTGATCCATTCTCCTCTGAGCTCTTCTCCTCTTTTGGTGTCAAAATGTTTCTTTGTAAATGAACGATATGCATTTAAAATACCTTTGTAATAATAAATACCACACGAACATATGTATCAAGGAAAGGATTTCAATTTTGATGACACTTCCTTCTCAAGAACAGACATTCTGGAAGAAAAAAACACTGCCAGACCCAAATTGATTGACATTTGTTTACTTAACTCTCTCTTCTTGAAAGTCTGCACACCTATTTCAACCTTGAACAGTTTCCAACTGTGGTATACTGGAACATTTTTTCATTTATTAAGTTCAGTGTTGCCAACCCAAACAAAGAGTAATCAGTGATGATCCAAGCAGACCAAGCTGTCTAGCACCATACAATGTATCTGCATGCTAATTTTCAAATTCCCTCACATTTCCAGAGAACTAATGGGATCATTTTCATTCTGTTACAGCAACTCAACAGTTACTGAATCACCATCTGTGTTTTCGTTAACCTGAATCAGATATGAATTCTGTTATTGCAAGGTAGAGCAGCTTGTTTAATGATTCTTAATCTTTTCTTTAATTAAATCATGCAGCCAACCTGAAAAATCTATCTTAATGCAAATTAGGAGCTTTTTTGGCATTCACTTACAGTAATGCACTAATAAGGTTAATTTATGAAGGTTCTCTTCCAGTCTGTACAGATGATATTTGTTCGCTGCATATTTTTAGCATATTGTCCCTTTTTCTAATATTTAAAAAAATATTACTAATAAAAAGGGGGTTGTTTTCACTCACACAAAAGAGGAAGGCTGCAAGCTGCTTTTTGTTTATTAGAAAGAATTCGGAAAAGGAAAATCAGTTTCTCCCCTCTGTGAGCATCTCTCCACGCGGGTGCAGAGGGACAAATCAAGGACTGCTGGGTTAAATGGTTTTGGATGAGCACTCTCCACTTCTCACTGGAGAAATTCAGGCCCCAGTTCAGATGAGCATCTTGAAGTTATCAGGGGAGACAGAGAGTTTCTCTGAACCTTTTGTTTTTTGTGGTTTGGTTTTTTTTTTTTTCTTTGTAGGTGTGAATTAATGGCATAAAGAGTAAATAATTCTTGTGAAATTAGCCTGAATACTTTTCTCAGTTGCACAATTGCTTCGGCTCGGGGCTCTGATGATCTCAGTCAAGAAAATTTCTGTCTTTGAGCGCATTCCTCCCAACTGCAAAATTAGTTGAAATCTGTTCAAGTTGCTGAGTAAAGAGTAAACTTTTTTTTTCTTTTAAGGTTATTTTTCAACACCCACAAGCAAACAGGGATGGCGACTGTGAATTTCAACACACCGCCATTGCTATTTAATTAAAATCACTGAGGCTGGCTGAAAACTTTTCAGCAGAGTGATTTCACGTCAGAGAACACAGATTCTCAAAATCAGAACATTATTTTCATAGAAATCCATCCCTCCGTTTCCACCAGGAATGAGATTTCAGTTCTAGGAAAGGTCTTCTCATCCCAGCTAGGAACCATCATCCCCTTTTAGAATGGGGCTGCCCAACTGCGGCAGCCAGGGCATCTCTTTCAACCCCTCTCTGTATTCCCAGCTGTAATTGCTCCATTGCTCCAGTTTGAGTGTATTAACTATTTGCACAATCCAGGACAGGAGGTCTTGTCTAAAGACTGGGAATCTCCATGGCTGTGACTCTCTGTGTTTCACTAAAGGTAACGGCAGGACAGAATGCCTGCTGGATGGTTGAATCTTCCTCTTGTTCCTTCTGACCAGGAATGGAAACAATATCTCATACTGTTTGTGCAGTGATTCCTGGCTTGTTAATATTCTGGTGTGGCTGTTTTTCTCTGCCGTGAGGAATTTTGGCCTCTTAGCAAGGGGTTTTGCCTCTGTGTAAGTGGGAATGCTGCTCTTCCTTTTCTCCTCTTCAATTTGGAAACCTGTTTTCCTGCCATTGTTAGTCCTTTCTGTGTAACATTAGCAGAGAGAATGAAAAGTATCTGCTTTCTTTCCCATTCAATCAGACCTATGTATATTATATGTATATCATATGCTTCTCTTCCTGCTTTACCCACTAGTAAAATAAGTCGATATGTGAATATTAGGATAAGATTGCTTTAATTAGAACCTATTGCCCTGCACACTGTCTTCTCTAAAAACTACCTGTATTAAGATCTGGGGAAAATAAGTCTTAAAGAAAATTTCCTATGATAAATTTTTTGACTTCACCCTCCACCCTCTGCTTCCCAGCCCTTTCAACTTTTCAAGTATCTTTAAACATACATGACCCACCCCTGTTGCTTCCTTGTATTTTATGGTGATCTTTAATTTCTTTTTTAGGGAGGGATTTCTCTCCATTTTCATTCCTTGGCTTATCTTTAATGAACTGGAAAACATCTACTGAATGGGATAATACCTGATGCTTACAGTTTTCCTTACATCACTTTACAGTATTTTCTCAGGTATTAAAGTAGCACTGGACTCAAACTAAGAGGAGTGATCAAACTATCTGCTGAAGAACTCAAACAGGAGCCCCAGGAACTGGAAGCTGAACTTCAGAATCACGAAGAGCACTGTCACAGCATGAGAAAAATCTGGATGAAGACATGAACTGGAGACATGTCTACCACACTACAAGAAATTGAAAGAATACAATCCCATTTGACTCTAAAAATCTTTCTAGGCTAATTACCAGCTCACAAAGCAGAGAAATTAAGGCAGAGAGGGCATGTTCATGATGACAACCTTTACCCATTAGCAAGCTTTGAGTTTTCCCAAGGCTGAAGACAGTTTAGCCCTGACAAATCCAATCAGTGATATGCAGGCGTAACCTCCAGAAAGAAGCTCATATTTTTAGGCTTCACAGGGCAAAAGATGGACTGCAGTAGGTCACTATTAAAATATTTGAAATACAGCTTGGCCAGTGCTGAAATGGCACAGTTGGCCTGAAGTCGCTTCAAGGTCTCCTGGCATCTGAGTGTTTCCCCAGTGGCTTTGTGCAGTAAAGTGTTAACTTCTCCTGAGTGGTTATGTATTTAAGGCAGTAACTTTAAAATAAGGAATTGCAACCTTAGAGCAAAGCTGCTATTTTGAGAATTTTAAACCATTATTGACTCCTGTCAGATCAGTTTCTAGACTTATTGACTCAAGAAGTAAATATAGACTGAGAGAAAGCGAGGTCAAGTCAATATTTATCTTGCAGATCAATACATTTTGATACTAACCAAAAATTAAGCTCAATAAATGCATATATTATATACAGCAAGGTTAGGAGAGATCCATTCAGAAAATTTGTCAATTTGAAATTTCCCAATGGAATCTAACCTTTTGGATTCAATTTCCATTAGAAATTCTGTCCCTTTAAGGTTCCGTAAGTGACTGATGACGAGCCCCCATCACCCAATCAGATTTCCAGATGATAGTTGAATAGCAGTGAAAGGAAAAGGAAAGAAAGATGAAGTGAGAAAAAGTTGGTCACAGGAGCTCAATCACGGCGTTAGGAGGAGGCAGGTGAGTAATGGCAGTGCACAGATGTGCCAAAAGAAGCAGGATGGGGACTAAAGCAGATGTGTAACGCGATATAAGTAATGCAATATTGCAATGCAAACATGAAGAAAGGATGGAAGAATGTGGAGGTGAACTCGTGGGAAGATTGAGTACTAACTAGTAAAAAGAGAGGGGTCAGTAATTTTAGCATTGCAACAAATGGGGTGCAGTGGGGAAGATTATTTTGGGTGTTGGTTTACATCCTAGCAGCATATAATATCAGCATTCTTGTAGCGGGAAGTTAGTTTGGTGTTTTCATGTGTCACCATACTGCTTGTTTTGATAGGCACCCATTATGTCTATAAGCTTCCTACCATGGCTTAGTCACCAAGAGCTGGCTGCTCTTCCAGGGCTTGGTAGCACTATGGATGGGCTCAGGCCTCTGCTGAGGCATCACCTGGCACTCTTGGGATGCTGCAGCTCAGATGCAAGGGATTAGGCCAGTTTTGAATGTGTAATGGCAGCATAAGTGAGGGCACACAAGGGGGTGTTCACAGGAGGCCTGGGAAGCTGGGAACATCCATCATTGCATGATGAGAGCTGCTGGTGGTGAGCACTTGTCTTACGTTTGCCCCCTTGTCCCCACACCTGCAGCCCACATCTACCCTGTGCTGCAGGACCCCAAGGGCAGATCAGTGTGTCAGAGGAGCAGGCTCTGCAGTACCCAACCTCCTGTCCTGGACAAGCTGCAGCCTGTCCATGCTCCAACCTCTCATGTTGTCCCTCTTTCGAGGACATTTTCCTGAACATCTTTTAAGCTATGAATCCACCCTTTGGGGAAGATGCATGCTGTAGCAAAATGAATTTCAAACGTGTCAGGATACACGTGAAACATTTTCAAGAGACCTTTTCCTGTTTTTTTTTGTTTTTTTTTTGTTTGTTTTTTTCCCCATAAAGCTTCTGAGCAGGGATGCATTTGCACCCCAGATAGCATCAGTGACCTCCCATTTACACAGCACCTCTCACTCCAAAGATCTCCTGATGCTTTGCAAATGTAGCACAAGCTGCTCTGCTCTTGCATCTCGCTTCATCCAGGTCTGGAGCCCAGCCAGCCCCTGCAGAGATGAGCCCAGCACCTGATCCGTGTGCCCACAACAATGAGCAGGGAGCAAACAATGCTTCCTCCAAATGAAACTCCAGGCAGAGTTTAGACAGGCAGAACGTAATTACCCAAACTGGAATTTGGCCAGAGCACTGCAGGTATGGTGGATACTTTCCCTGGGAGCACATTATTGGAAGGAAAGGGCACATAAATGATTGAATTGCTTGGTCAGAAAACACTGTTCTTGTCTTGCAGCTCATCTGGAAAAAAAAACAGGTTGCCAAAAAAAAAAAAAAAGCAAACACCCTATGCTGCTGCAAGTCTTCTTGTAGATAATTTACAGTGCACAGAGATGATAAAATGATATACTAATTGGTAAAATATGATTTCATTTGAAATAAAGTGGAGAATCTCACCAAATTTAGCTCTGCACAATATAGCAAAGTATATTTCTCATCCAGCATAAAAAGGTGCCATTTGTTTGATACCGGTTTGATGAATTATTAATTTTATCACAGCTAAGATGACAGCTAATATTAGAACATTGAATTATTAATTTTCAAATGTGGCAATAAAAAAGCAGAACAAACACAAACTGAGACACATTTTAGGTATGAGTTGACTTGCTTACATAATCTGTTTGAAAAAACAAAACAGCAGAGACAGATATTTAAATCTTGCCAAGCAAATGCTTCTACCCTCAAGCCTCAGGTATGATTTTTAGCCTTACTTTGGAAATAACATTCTCTGACCAAACTTAGCTGATAGGATATTATACACCCTCCATGTCTATTGGACAAAATATAATTTGTTTGGATGAAGATACGGTTTGGGGAGTACTCTGGCCAAGGAATAATACAGAAGCGTGTATAACTCTGGTTATACAGAGCAGTCACCCAATTTTTATTACTAGCAAGTTGGAAAATGCAAGTTAATTGTTCAGAATAGCATCTGGTTTAGTCTTTTGCCCCTCTTCTTTCCTGTGGTTATTTTCACCAATGCTTGTTGCTTGCTGCAGGGTAAATAAGCACTCTAAGGCTTGTTTCCTTAAAAATGTTTCTTTGCGATTTCAGTCTTAGCAATCAGCACAAGATTTATCTGGCTCTGCTGTTCCCTTACAGACTAATACCTATTTTCCTGTCCAGTGTCTCCTTTGCAAATATTCCTCCTTCCCAACTCTCCAGATGAGATGGGAGCTTTGCAGCCTTTCTTATTCCATGGCTAAATAGTCAACAAAAGATTTCCAAATGTCCTAACTTCTTATGTTTTCCTACTATTTATTTTTTTGGAGAAGCAGAGATTATTGCAATGCTGTCCCTGAATGTGAACAAGAGTTCAAAAATAGGCACAACTTGCGCGCATCAGGGAAGCTGATCAGTATAGGTGGATTTTTGAGGGCAGTGCTCCCATGCAAAAGAAGAGAAACAGCTGTCTGTCCCCAAGCCTCATTGGGAATTAATCCAGCTCAAAGCTGGATTAACTTCTATTAAAAAACAACAAAAAAAAGCCCACAAACTTGTATTCCACTGCCACATATGGCGATTATTTAGACTGCAGATATTAGGCAGGGCTAGCTGTTTGGGTGCTAGAGAAAGACTCCTTTACATCACTTATTTTTATCCTGTTGAAAAAAATGGGGTGGAGGGGAAAAAGCATGTGTCTCCCATCTAAGTTTGGAGAGAGGTGAGCAGTGTAGGAGGGTGATGGAACATCTCTAGCATGATATGAGGCTGCCATTGAGGGAGGGCAGCACAATGCTGCAAGGCAACACAGTCTGTGTCCAAGAACCTGCCCCCTTTTTTTTGTTTGTTTGTTTTTTGCTCTAAACAGACTTATGTCAAAAGACAAGGAAGACTTTCAGTACTTACAGGGGGCTTATAATAATTGTGGAAACATTTTATAAGGACTAATGGTTTAAAACTGAAAGAAGGTGATTTTAGAACAGACGTAAGCAGGAAATTGTATATTCAGAGGATAGCAAGGCCCTGGCACAGGTGGCCCAGAGAAGCTTTCGGTGACCTGTATCAGGAGGTGCTCGAGGCCAGGTTGGATGGGGCCCTGAGCAATCTGGTTTGGTGGCAGGTGTCCCTTCCAAGGCAGAGGCTGAAACTGAATGATCTTTAAGGTCTTCTCAACCCAAGCCATTCTATGACTTTGTAGGTTCCTAGGATTTTTCCGTTTCAGAGTGACATACGATGGTCATTTATCCACCTTGGGAAGAGCAGTGAGGCATGTTCGTGTTTCATTCATTTATATGTTCATACACAAAAAAACCCACCTTTTTTCTTTTTTTTTTTTTAATTTTCTTTTTTTTTGCCACCCAGACTCGGCAGTGATTGAAATACCTAAAAAGAAAAAAAGAAAACTGTTGGTTTCATTGGAGCGAGTTTCGAGGTCTGTCTCTTTGTGCACAGTCCAAATCTCAGACAGCTCAGCTCAGGGTTTGTACCATCAGGTGGGCATTTCATTAACAAAAATATCAATATCTGCCATGGAAGAATTGTTCCCATAGTGCACCCCAAAAAATCTTTGTGAGGGTTCTCCTCTCTGTGATCTATCCCAAAAAGAAGAGCTGGAAAGAATTAAAAGCTTCTTGCCACCTTTTAAAGGTGATTCTTAGTATGTGGTTTTGAATTTCTCTGGTTTCACACATTGCTGGTTATGTTGCCTATTATAAAGGATTCAGTAAGACACACTTTCTCCCAGTGGTATTTTATTTTGACACATCTCAAATGAAAATACAGCTCATTATCTTATACAGAATTCAAATATGTTGTCACCTGGTTTTCCTGCATTAAAATATGATTCATTTTCGTTGTAGGTATATGAAAAAGCAGAATGACTCTGTAATAAGCCTATTTAGTAATTTATTTATGTATTTTTGTTCACCTAAAAATGGGGCAAATGTCAGGCTTTGTCTTTTAAAATGTCTTTGTGCTCAGAATACAAGTGCTCTCGTGTCTGGTCCTGTTGTTTTCTTTGCTGTGATGGTTTTGGTTCTCAAGAGGCATATTTAAATTTTCATAAATATAGTAAAATTTTTCAGGAAAAAAAAATGCTTGGAGACCTCATTTATTTGAGTTTTAAAATATTATTTATAATACTCTGTGAAATGTATCAGCCCTGTTGGGGCAGGGCTTTCAGATCAGCCAAATTCTGAAACTCTTTACAGGATGCAAATTAAGGGCTTGATTAAAAGAAGACTGCTGTCCCACTGTTTTTGGTGAAGTTTGTGCAGGTACTACAGCAATGAATGTGGGGCTTGCTAAGCAAATGTTTTTGAACATTTTCGTTTTTTTTTCTCTTTATTCAGTATTTAAGATATAAAGTATGAAAACTTGGCTCAACTGGGTGTGCCAGTCTGTTGAGTTTACCTGATCCAGAAGGTGTTTTAAATTATGGAAACCACAAGAGATCAGTACTTCTCAAAACATCACTGGCACATCTGAAAATTTTCAAATTGATACGATTTTGTCAGGTTCCCACAACACCAATTCACATCTAAAAAAGCACGTCCATCTAAGCTCTTGATTAACCAAAAGTAATGTTCAAGAGGTGGCCTCTGCTCCGCGCATTTGAATTTCAATCTTGGAACAGGCTGCAGAGGCTGGATTTAAAGTTCGAATTTTGTTTCATTTGCAGGAGAACGGAAGAGCTGGCAAGCTGAGACACTACCAGTACTTTGTGGAAACCGACATATGAATTTGTTCTACAAATGTGCCAGGGACACACTGATCCAACAGTTAGATCACTTCCAGAAGACACCGAGTTAGATCTCCGAGTTCACTTCCAATTGCTGACTACTACTATCCAATAAAAGAAGATTTCTGCATAAAGTAAACAAGGTAATTAATTATAGAGCTGAGTGATATCCCAACAGGAGCTCCAAACTTCAAGCATACAAAAATAGATTGAAAAGTAAATGCTAAAATACTCTAATCCTTAGAAGAAAGAAAGTTCTTCTCATTGGTTTTGGGGACTTGAGGTTGTGGATGGGCTTTGGATTTGTGTGCTTGATGGAGGTGAAGCAGAAATAACTGAGATTAGATTTGGTGATAGGAAAGTGGAGGAGATTCTGCTGAAAGGACAGAAGGGACAGCAAGCATGGAGATTTAAGTGAATACATTAACTTCATTTGGGAATGCGTAAGACAGAAAAGCTCTTGAACATCATGGGGTATGACCCATGCAGAATTATTGCACAAAAAGACCTTTTTTACCTTTTTCACATGTATTTAAATGGCCTAAGTCTCATACATCATGAAACACAATTTCTTTTCTGCTATCCTATTGAAGACTGGTAACTTTAAGGTCTGATATCTTAACTATTGTTTTTGCTCTTGAATATAACCTGTTGGTAGCAGGCCACACTGCTTGAAAAAGAAGTCCAAAGGAAGAACCCCTCTATAAAGGAGATGTATCAATAACGAGGAAATACAGCAGCAACAGCAACATGTTATCATTTATTCTTTTTTTGAGTATATCAGAGGAAGACTGACTGTCACTGCAGAGGGAAGAGGGCATGAGAATGAGAATTGCAAGAGAAAAAAATCACAAAAAAATTCCTCCTTCTCTGGGATGAATACAGGGGAGTAAGTGTTCCTACAAGAATTGAATTATGTTGTGATTTTAAATATGGTGTGAGAATGAAGGACATATGAGCTGCAACGAGACAACCAAAGAGGAATTATGTGATGTGTTCAGGCTGGGAGTGTGCTTCACATGACAACAGGAAGAGAGGAAAGGTGGAGTAAAAAAAAATCAGAATCTGCTCTATCCTGAGCCATTAATGGCAACCATGTTCATGTTTTGTAGCTAGTTATATTTACTGATGGTTCTCAAGCACATTCAACTTTGCACTATCCCCTACGAATTGGAAAGATGTCTATTTGTCAATGACCTATAGGTTTGGTATCACCAAAGCTAAACAATAAATGTCCTTTTCCTTAAGTACTGGTGCTTACTCTTGAGGAGTAGAATGCTGTGACCTTTTATTTCCAGTCTGAGGACAGTTCTATGATAGATGGAATAATGCCAGTACCTACTTTTCATTAGATTGTATGATTTGACTTTATCTTGCATGGTCTGTGTGGTCTGAGTGAATAAGTCACACCAAAATTTATGAGGTTTTCATTACTACAAATGAATCTTCATCATTACTATGTGGATATAAGTACTCTTGAGAGGCAGAAGACAGACCCAACAGGCCAGCACAAACTGATGCCAACTTGCTGGCTGCTACTATTCATTCCCTTAACCCGAACCTCCAATGACCCTGGGCCACTGAAACATTGGTATCCCTTAGGGACCTGCCTGGCATCCCATTTGGGGTTTGCAGAACAGGATCCCAGTCTTTTGTGAAAGCCATTGACTAAAAATTCTCCTTTCGCTTTTAATTCTTTTACCTTAAGAAGGGAAGAAGAGGAATGGCCAGAAGCCACCTCCTTCTTGTTTGGACCAGTCTGTCTTTCTAAGGGCAACAAAAAGCAACAGAAGTGGCAGAGAAGATGAATACCTTCCTCCCTTCGTATAAATCTGTTTTTTTGGTTGTTTTATTTATTCATTTTTTTGTTTATTTTTCCAATTTATTTTGCAGTTGGAAACGTTCCGGGATTTCATCAACAACTTCCCAGTTTGACAACGAGACCCTCGTGACCCAGCAGCGAGTCCCAGTTCCCACCTGGGTGCCTCTGGAGAGTGACAAATCTCTTGGATGTGCTCTCACATCCCAGAAGCACAGGCCAGGAACATCTGTCTGTTCCTTCCCTTCCTTCAGACTGCCCCGAGGAGAAAGGGAGGCAGGCAAGTAAGGATATGAAAGGCAAACACTCAACTGGCCGTGTTACATTAGCCAACTTAAATAATTCCTCTTGGCTGTGGAAACAGCCTTCCCATCCAAAGCTGTCTTTTTTCTTTCTTTTTTTTTCCCCCCTTTTTTTCCCCCCAAAAAACCAAGAACAACTTATTTCCAATTTTGGGCAGCTTCCTTGGCTGTGGGCCAGCTCTCCCCACTGCCTCTCTGTGCTACTTCCCAACACCTCTCAAGTGACCTGACTGAGTGCCTCAGGGATCAAACTTTACCGAACAGGAAAATCAAAGTATGCAAATGAAGCTCGGGTTATTACATATATAATGATGAAAACGATTTTCCTTTGCTGTTGCCCGTGCCCAGCTTCCTTCCCTACGACTCTGAGTGCTTCAGTGCTGTATATAGCTGTTGAACTGAAGCACCCAAGGATGGCTGTGAAGCAGGAAGAGAGTTCAATCTGCAGGCTGGTTTTCCAGGCACTTTCTTTCTTATTCTCCACAAGATGGTTGATATGCCTCCGGATTTTGCTGCTATTATTTGGGTGTCTCTACTTCACAGCAAAGGGCAGATGAATGCCTTGTGCAGCCTCTTCAGTCCACTCTAGATCTATTTTAGGCTGAGAAGACTGTGCTGCTTGGATAGATGGGTGCATTTCATGCCAAAAGCTCAGTCTTTCTGCAGAGTTAGGCATCTCCGTTTGAAAAAGTAAGTACAAGGTAAAGCTGTTTGAAGCAGTGCATGAAGCTGAGTTGCTATCAGATGTATATGGCATAAAGCATATATCCTGATAGGCACTCTCCTACAAAGGAGAAGTGGCATTATTTACTTGTGCATCTTAATGAATGAGAGGATGCATATTGCGACATGAAATCCTATCCACTGTACCAATTCAACAGGCATTTATACACTGAAGTCTGAACTCTGCATAACCAATGGGATGTCAATGAAGGATGTGGAAGAACACTTGTCTAAAGACACCTACTCTTTATTTTTACTACAAAGTCAATTACCATTTCAAAGCAGCCATCTGACATTTGTAATGTCAGGAGCCAGATGCTGGCATTGTGATATCGTCATATTAATTTTAAAGAATAATTTTATTAATTATTTTTATTTTTTTTAATGTTGGCTTCCCAAGGATTAAGTTGGATATTCTCGATGCAGTAGAAAAAATAATTTATATTCCCCAAAGACAAACATTCTTCTATTCTGTTTGGTTCTATAACTCAGTCATTTCTCTCTCTTGAAGAAGCACAAAACAGAAAGAACTTTTGGTTTCAGGTAAAGTTTCGCCTCAGCTGATCTTTCTGAAAACATGCACCTTTTTGGCTGTTTCAGTTATGAATCATAGAATGGCCTGGGTTGAAAAGGACCACAGTGCTCATCCAGTTCCATGTGTCTGCTGCCAACCAGCAGACTAGGCTTCCCAGAGCCACATCCAGCCTGGCCTTGAAAGCCTCCAGGGATGGGGCATCCACAGCCTCCTTGGGCAGCCTGTTCCAGTGCATCACCACTCTCTGTGTGAAAAACTTCCCCCTAATATCTAACCTAAACCTCCTAAAATGAAGCTTATGCATAATTTATCTTTAAAGGGAAGTTTAATGAGTAAAATTTGGGTTACTGACGTTTTGGCACAGGTCACATTGAATCTTTTTTTATCTCCTAAATCACGTGTTTAAACTTAGTTTGGGTCTCTTAGGACCAAAATCTGTGCTGACTCCTCTCTGACCTAGGCAGATTGAACTGAGTCGCAACACTGCTCTTTGCTGGTACATGTCCTCATCCCCACTGCCAAGAAAAACCCTCTCCCTCTGTGTTTTCCTGTTAGCAATACTGGTATGGAAGCCAAGGACTGACAGTCTTTCTCATAATTCTAAAATCCTCTCCTCCAACAGGGAAAAAGGAAAATGATTGAGAAACCTTTTGCTATTGTTTGGTTGTTTGGTTATAAAGGAGAACTGGACTGGCAAGCCATCATCCCAGTAGCCCTAAATCTCTGTGTAAAACATAGGCAAAAGGAGAGAAAAGAAAGATTCATTGTTATTATCATTACAGGCTACCTTTATAATACACGTGTTTCACTTAAATTAATATTTTATAACTCTATATCAGCACTGCAGTCACCCAACAGCATTTCTTATTTATCCAGTTGGACATACTAATTTGCTTTTATCAAAATACTTGAGAAATAATTGTCTTACCTCTCCTAGGACACGCTACAGGGTTTATTCTCTCCTTGCTATCTACGTAGTTATAAATCCTCATGCACTGAGAGCAGAACAGACTTTATGTGTCTAGCATTTTCTTATGATTTCTAGGCTATTATCCCCAAATCCTAATTAACCATTATTAAAAATAATGTGGCCTTTCTACCACGTGAGATATACCAGCATGGTAAGATGTGATGTGAAAGTCCCAAGCATAATGTAATTTTGCTGCTTTACTTTTCCTCTTTTATTAGAGATTTCTAACATAATACTGCGTTTTCATCCAAAGTGACAGGATTCAGTACATACTTTGTAGTATATGTTTTGCAAACTGCCAAAACTGAGTCGTTGGATTTAGTTTTCTAATAATCATACAGCCATACAACACGCCCCTACATGTCAGAAACTGAAGAAAGCAAATTCGTACACAACAACATGTATTTTGTGGATAGCGATAACCCACCCAAATCTAATTTAATCAAATATTTAAAGAGGTAATAATTAATTTTTAAAGAATTGAAGTGAACCGTAACTAGGAGGAAATGTTATTGTTTATTTTTAATGCCAGAACCGTATTCCTGATGCATTTTTAATATTTCATTAAGGCGGTAACAGTGTATTTTTTCAAGTTTCATATCTCACTGATTTATTTATTTTTTTCTGAAGAAGAAAGGTAAAATGCTGTAGGGAAACTCAGAGCTTAGACTGATGCATTCTTTGAGGAGCTCTTGCTAAAACTAACAAGTCTTTTTAAGCAGAAGTCTTCTTAAGCCTTTCCGGACAAGCAATCTAAAACCAGATGTCTTTTAGACAAGCTAAGGTACAGCATCTGCTTATGAGCTGAGCAAAGGGTTCTTCTTTCAGACAGTGCATGTGTTCATTGGGTACTACTTTCTGTTCTGCTTCTGAGCTATTAGTCATTCTTACTTTCTGGAAGAGATATCTGCAAGAAAGGTTTTAAAGCCCATTGCCTTTCAAACCTGCATTCTGTCCTTCCTCAGTCCTTTGTTTTTTGATGTATTCCTTCTTTTTAATGGAGCATCCCTCACAGTTTTTTAGCCTTTCGTACTCAAACCGTGGAAGCCTATTTATTTCACTCTGGCTCCAGCCCTAGTTAAAGGTGTGAACTACCAAAGTGGATGGGGGCACATGCACATTAACACTGCTGTGGAAAACATCGCCTGACAGATGGATGCATGTTGAATGGGTGTTTAAAGAAAGGTGTTTGCAATAAAAATCCTGAGTACAGCATCAGAGGAAGACCACACACAGTTTCCTACTTTTATTTCTGTAATATAATAGGAGTCAGGCTAGTTCTAGTCCCTATGCTTTATACTGTCACTTACTCACATTTGCTATTTCGTATATGCTTATATTTGATATTTAATGCTAATAATTTATATATTAATATTTGTGTGCTTATTTCAAAGACTGGCTGTTTTCAAGGGTCTGCTCTGCACCACGAGGGTCTGGGTCAACATACTGTAAATTGCTAGTTTATTCAATAAACAAAATAGTGAAAGGATAAGTTGAACTTCTCCAGTTTTAGTCACCTGTTCTCGATCTCTGGGTGATATTCACCTAATATGTAACAGTTATGGAGCTATGAATATGATGTGCAGATACATCCTTGCTTGGGTTTATCTGCCTCTGACCAGCCCTAAGAACTGACGTGTTTAAATTCTGGTTGAGAATTGAGGCAAGTGATTGGAACTAGATTATCTTTGAGGGTCCTTCTAACCCAAACCATTCTATGATTCTTTGGAAGATGAACTATAGATAAGAAGTTCTCTCCATTTTTCTTCCTAAGTCCTTAGCTGTTCCCTGGATGGATAAGAGGACTTTTTAGGCACAGCATTGTTCTTTTCCCAAAATATTTCTGACTCAGTCATCTGCCTACGTAGCGAACTTTTGTGTCCCCTGACTTAGGCTGAATTGGTTTCTCTTTATGTACAAACAGGATCGCTTTTTTCCCCCCCCGATTTCATAATTGCTATTTCTATTTTTTTGCTTCTTTCAGTTTTCAATTATACTTCCACTTGACTATCAAGACTATCAAGAAATAAAGCATGATTCACATGTACACATAGTTTACGACCTTTGGATTCAAGTCCATTTATATAAACTTGCAAATACAAAAGGATACGACGTCATAGGGCCTTGTAGGCACCCAAATTGTCAGTGAATTCAGACCATAACCGGTTTGTTCAGCTTTATTGAGACCTCTTTATAAGCTGTGCTTGTGTTATGACAGTAGATTGTTTACAGATTCTTAAAATGTCCTGAGTTGATGAAAAAAAGGGCAATTTTTTCCTTCACAAATATCACTTGACTTTGAGAGGAGTGTTTGAAGCTACACAACCAGAATAGGAACATTCACATCCTCTCTATGAGTGGCTCAAAAACCCTGTCATTTCTCTCAGGCCCAGCTCCAGCAAGCACTTACACACATGCTTAACTTTATGCACACGAGTAATCCCATTGATTTAATGGGATTATTCCCCTATGCACAGTTACGCACACATAAATGTTTGCAGGACTGGGGTCTATTTCTCTTGCAATGATTTGAAACCTGTGGAAGAAAATGCTGTATGCAAGTTAGATATTATTTAATGGCCACATATTAAGCCTGAATATCTCTTCTGAAATTGGTGAGGCTGTGCCACTTTGTTTCTGGCTGAGAAACTGCCCTCTTCTGTGCACAGTCTAAACTCTTAGCTTACTACAACACATTGTGGCTATTACAGCATAGAAAAGTGCATGGGAACTGCTGAGTCACAGCCTGAACCACTGATGGAGCACCTGAGGAAAGGACCTGGTCAGCCCTGGGAGCACAGGTGAATGCAATTCACCTGTATGACTGGAAGGGGTGCAACCTGGCTCCACCTCTCTTAGACCCCATTTAAGGGCTGACTGCAACGGGGGAAGGATCTCTTTCTAAAGATTCCTCCCTAGTGGATCTTTCCTCTGTGAACCTGGAATCTTCTGATACAGGTGAGCAATCTTCTTCCCTTTCTTTATAGCACCTTTCTATCGTGCCGATCCTTTATTGCTGTACCTCTGTTTCCCATCATAGTGATCTGTTCAATTACTACAAAAGGGGAATGAAGAGGTAATCGGTATTAGAAG